GAGCAGAACAACGCGTAAATTTTATATTTGTTAATATACTGATATTTAATTGACCTAATAAATAATAACTGCTACGATAAACCATAAACTTGCTTATTCGAAGTAGTAAAATACATGTGTTATTCATTTATTTCATGTATAAATATAATTTAATTAATTATGATATGATTTATGGAATTATAAATATTATCATAATATAATTATATTTTATACATACGTGTGGTGTCTAATTTTATTGGACCGTCTAGGCCCCGGGCCCCGGTGCAATGCACACCTATGCAACCGTGTAGTTACGCCACTGCTGGTAACTACTGAGATAACTCAAATCGTTGTGATATCAGTAAGAATACAGAGAGAGTGTCCGAGGATTTAAAACCGTTTTGATGTCACCAAAAAACGTATGGTATATGATACGTATAATGATAATAACAACAATAATATCGTACGTACATGTTTCTATTGCAGCGCTACGCGTCATTTATTTCGCAATATCGCGAATATATAGTGTTACATTTGCAAAAACAGTTTTGTTTGCACAATAACATAATGTAGGTAGGTAGGTGGTAGGCACTCGCTTGTTGGTTGCCTGTCAATTATTTGTATCGCGCCTCGTCGAAGAAAAAACATTTCTCGCGACTTATCAAACCGTCGCATCATCTAGTTTCGTGTTACGATATACCTACCCGCGCTGGATTCTATTCGAAAACGTTTTTATTTTATTTTTTCGCTAAACCGCCCGCCGCACGCCAAGTCGAGTCCCAAATTTGCGAAATTTTTCAGCTCTCGAGACCGTCGACCGCGTTCGCAGGCTGCTGCGTACAGCAGAGCCCGTCGACGGCGGACACGCGAGCGCGCGCGCGCGTGAATAAAACGATTAACCCGACCGGCTCCCGTATAAACGCCTCCGCGGCCGCCGTAGCACCGTGCGAAACAATGTTCTTCGGCTCGGCAATTCGCTACAAGTGCACAACCGTTTTCTACCGCACTTGTTATACCTGTACGTATACCTATGCATAAAAATCGTTCGGCAGCTGTTGCCTAGGTCTTGCGCGTATTGTTGCCGCCACTGCCGAGGCCGCCATCATTGTACGCCGTTGCCTCCGCCGTCACGCTCTCACTCTTCCGATTCGGCGGCGGCGCTATTGTCGTCGTCGTCGGCGGCGGCGGCGGCTGTCGTTATGCAGTCGGCAAAGTACTTGGATAGTGCCTACCTGTTGCAGGTATATAGCCGCGAGTGAAAGCGCGCACTCGTAGCCTCCCCCGTCCCGCGCCCTTCCGCCCCACTGCGCTGCAGCTATATATTATTGCAGCATCCGTTTTCGTCGCATGTATTATGTTGAGTTATGGAAACCATAATAATATTATGTTGCTGCAGTCTCTTTGCAGGCCAAGAACATTCGGTGGTTGGGACATTCGTGGGAGTTAGCGGCATACCTATATGCATCGCCGGTAATACGCGTCTGTCATATATAACGCATAACATTGTACATACGATACGGTTAGGTACATTATTTTTATACTACACTACCGCAGTTGCACTGTATTATAATCCTACTCCGTCCAGGTTAGAACTAATCTATCTTTCTACGTCGTTTTCCATTTTGCCAGAGTTGAATAATATTTATATTTTATTGTATCGCGCGAACTGCACGATTATTATGGTATTTTATTTTATGACTTTCCATATGTCTCATTGTCGTTTATGTAAACGCGAAAATATGGAGACGTATTCAAAGATTAACCTACATAAACGCTGACGTAAATCCAACACCGTTATGATTTGTAATTCGTTTTATGGGATTAAACGTCAAAAATATGCCCAGCTTTTAAGAAATGGAAATCCGTAAAATTAACCGTTGTTACTGTTTTCAGAAGTATTTTTTTTTTTTTCAATATATTTGTAAAACATTGAGTGTGCTATATTTTTCTACTAATTTATATTATAACCGTAATATAATCTATAACAAATATTAGTAATCATTTTAATAAATAATATAAAAATCGATATTCGTAAACCAAAAATAAATTCATGTGATCTTTATTACTACGTGGAAATATATGAGTTGAAAAAATAAGCTATAAACACCGTCCAGCTATTTTTGGATCTATTTTGTAGAGGACAAATAAAAAAAAAATTCATTTTTTTATATCTCAGTCTGCCTGGCTTTGCGAATCGCAAAATAAAAGCCATAAACGCCGTCCAAGGAGTTTTTGAATTTATATTGTAGAGGACAAACAAAAAACCATTTATTTTTATTGTATTTCAGTCCGCTTGGCTTTGAGAATCGCGAAAAAAAGCCATAAACACCGTCCAAGGAGGTTTTGAATTTATATTGTTGAGGACAAACAAAAAACCATTTATTTATTTTTTTTGTATCTCAGTCCGCCTAGCTTTGCGAATCGCGAAAAAAACACAATCAAACAATGCGCGAAATCTGTCGTTTATCCATCAAGCAGTAGTAATATTGCAATCTAGTTCCCCCTCACCCCTCGCGATTAAGCGTTGTTGTGGACCAAGGTCTCGAACCAGAACGGCGCTCTGCGTATAACATTTAGTCTGTTGCACGAGCAGGGCACGACCGCGATTGTGGTATATTGTAGCTGTCGGTATTATAGGCTGTGGTTGGAATCGCTCGGTTCGGATGGAACGCCGTGTCGACCCGGACGGTGGCGAAAGGGTACATTCATACCGTGACGTAATCGACAACAAGCACGATATACGTACATTACCGTTTGACGGCTATAAAATCATTCATTAGCGGTGCATGTGTCCTTCGATAAGGTCTCGCACGACTTTTTATTCGTATTAAAGATTAATAATAATAATAATAATAATAATATATATATATATATATAATAGCTGGGTATTATATTTTTTTACACGACCATCGATTGTTTGCGGCAATGGCCGTAATATTCCGTCGGAGTACCTACCATTTTATGCGTGTGCAAAAATTACTGATTTGGTTATGAGTTGGAATTAGGAAATTATTCATTATGAATCATAATATTATTAGTTTTACCCTTTGGCCATTAGCCATGTTGATCACCTTCGCTATGTACACATGATGCAAATATGTAACGTTTGTGTAGTTAAATTACAGGTGTATCGGTCAGGCATAAATTAAATGTGTATATGCGGTGTTATACGCAGAGGCGTATCTATAGCTCGGCCAAGGGAATGGCGAATTTAAATACATTAATCACATCATAATCCCACGTCCAACTGACGCTGACACGGAATATTTCGTATTTTCCCGACAATAATAATAATAATAATAATAATTTTAGATTGTTAACGAAGCTGGTTGCAAAGTAACAACGGGTAATGAGTGGATTTTTAAATTGTACGCAAGTGATTCAAATTTTTTGAGTAGGAGTTTTATTATTTGAAAGTTGTATGCACTACTACTACACCTATCGTAAATAATTGGGTTAACTTTTTCCTTTAGAAAATTAACTTGTCTGTAGAAATTTATGATGTGCTAAAACTTGCAAAAAAAATATAACAACTATTATTATAATTTGTAAGTACCTACTGAACGTTAATTTTTAATTGAAAACTGATTTTGATTGTTATTTATTTATTCGAAAAAATAATATTTCTACATTCTTGTGAGGACGCCAATTGTTTATGAAAGAAATAACACTAGAAATATTGAATTAATTTTTAAAAACAATCCTCCATTTTAAAACAAAAGTTTTGTTTTTAACTATTGTTGCGTGCCAATATCAGATCCAAGTTCAGGATGTTATTTTAAACGAAAATTACAACTCTTAAGAACAATAATGTGTTTATTGTGTATAAATAAAGTTCATGTAACTGATACAAAAATTGGCTGAGTGTCGTGAAGATGCTCAGGTCCTGTGGCTCTGGTACAGCATCTGCCCTTGCTGATCTCTGGGCTCCTTTATATATGAAGAAGCCTCTTTGTCATTGTAGTCTATAGCCTTTCATTTTGTATTTATTCTTGGAATCGTTTTTACAGTTGTTTAATCGATAACAAAAATCTCCAGGATGTAATCTGTTCCCAATTGTCAATTCGTGGAAATGCAATAATGTATTTATTATCGACCTCGGCACACGACTGCTATTGCGATGTTTATTATGATGTTTTTAAAACAAGATTCATAAAAATATGAATCTACTATCTCGTATATATTACAGCCATATAATATATTATATTATTACATTAGGCCATATATATATATAGCCATATTACTATTGCTAATACTTATAACAATATTACATATTATATTATAATATATACTTATACCTATTTAACAATATATCTCGTAGCCCATAACACTATTTTTTAAAGTATCGACAATAAATTTATATCATAATATTATTATTATTGTTGTCTATAACCAATGGTTTTTACTTAAAAACGGATCTTGGATACTTACGATCGTCAATCGATACTTTCGAGTGTCGAGACCCACGAGTTATTGGGTTGGGCAACACTCTAATGTAAAACATTTGGCACCTATAGAGATAGTTATTAGTTTATGACTCATGAATCGTATTTACATATATAGTATATACGCAGTATAATGACTCATATCGCCTATTCAAATCTGCGCTTCGACCATTTTTTTCTCTAATAATGTGATGATTTATGCAAATTTGCGTGAACAACCGTACTATATTATTATACATGCTCATTCCTCGTTAATCGTCATTTACACACTAGAATTGTTATTATTATTGTCGTTATTGTTGTTATTATTGTTATTATCATACTACGTCTCGTGTGATGTACGCCAATACCTACGTCAAATAAACGAGACGCACCGCAGTTAACTTATACATCGCATCGTTTTTGTCGTTGTTTCGCTGCAATAGGAGATCGAACAGGACCGCCACCGGTTGCGCAGACAGTTGGCACAGTCAAAGGCCGAGTGCGAGCAACGGTGCCATGAGCTGCAGGCCGATCTCAGAGACCTGCAGGCGGTGCTCGACAGCCGGGAACGTCAGCTGCGCGAGGCGGACAAACAGAAACGAGCCGTGGTCCGAGAGCTTACGGACCAGAATGGCAGGTTGCAGTCGCACATCAGAGAGGTTCGTATTTATTAATAAGTTTAGAATATAATATAGAGTATTATGTCGATTACGAATAATAATTTTTCGAATTTTCATTTTTTTGGCAACTATTTTTGCCGTCATTTAATTGCTATCGTCCATAATATGTGGAAAATACAGTGGTTTACTCTACGTGTATATCTGATATTATGTTTACATAGATAATTGCAGAAAATGATAAAAAAAACTTTTGTTTTTTTTTTTACGTCTCAAAAATTTCCTGAATAAAAAATACTCAAGTTATGTCGTTTAAACTTTTCGAGTGTGTTTATATCCCTAATAAACAAAATTCCACTCCTCATCACTTCCACTCCTTAATTAATTAACACACGTATCACATATCTTCTAATCATCCATACCATACTTAATAATAAATTCTAAATTGTATTAATAAACTTGTAATAACATGTAATATGTTGACACATTTTAAATATAATAAATAAATAAAAAAAAAAAAAATATATGTGCCAAATAAACTCGGTCTGGGTTAATCTGACGCATGCCTCGCGTCGAATGATTGAGTATATTATACTGATTTTATGATATTATATAAATGTTTGTGCGCTGCAGCTTTCCCAGGCAGAAGCGGAACTCCGGCACAAGTGTCGTCTTCTGGAAGACGCACAGCAGCTACAACATGGCAGCGGCAAATGGACAGGGATCGGAGGAGTTGGATCGCCCACATCCATGACCAACGGCGGTTCCACCACTGATTACGGGTCGCTGACGCCAGACGACTACCGCAGCCTGGACGTGTTGCGTGATGAGGTAAATGCATCGGATACTATTTTGTTCATTTCGCTCTGATCAATACTATATTAATGCGAAATAGTCATATTAAATTTTACAATATCGACAGTCTACTTGGGTCGCAGTCGGTTGTTGGTGATTAATCGAAAAATCAGAATTTGGCCGTTACGCCAACGATCGACTTTGTCACTGTTTATAATAGATATACTTAAAATATTTTAATTATTATTATTCATAGTTCATACAATAACAAAATCAATGTTTTTAAAATTATACGTTTAGCGTGATGATTGTATTTATTTACTTATATTAGTTGCTTGATATTTAATATTAGGTTAACCTAATCGAATTTTTAACCGAACAAAGTCTACTCAACTTAGTAAATATAAGCTGCACAATGGTATTATATTTGAGTTTTGTTTGTATTTTTATAAACATTATAATCCTGATTCTTGAAAATATAGATAACATTCAATAAATTATTTTTGATATTAAATATTCTATCCAAATTGATTATTTCGACTGACGGCTATTATATATAATATATATTATGTAGTATATAAGTACTTAAAATTGTATGCCTTAAAATAATATTAAGCTAAGGTAAAAAAAAAACGCCGTATTGTTCATTAAAGGAATTTAAAGACTAAAAATTGAATTTGCTTGTTAAAATTTAAGTCAACATTTGAAAATATTTCATAAAAAGCTTAGCGTTCATCATGTAGTTGACTTTTTAGTTTTTAGTGAAAATGAAGCATTAATTACACGATTTCTAAAACAGTGAATTAATTTACAGTTCAATTATTGTAGGTACTTGTAATATATACAAAAATAGCTCGTGTTCGATTAAAAAAGAAACGGTGGAAAACAAATGTTTTAAGTTTTGAAAAGTTTTACAAATTCTCTCATAAGTATTTTATTTTATCACAATAAATAACTTCTCACAATCGTAATAGTTAATACATTAAAAATCTCGAAACAATAACCCTAAAATAATTAAGAACAACGTCAACTCTTTCGATTTTAGCAATACTAAATCTTTCAGAAAAGATTCTTATTAGTTATATCCTTATTAAACTTATAACTCATACTATATATACGCATAATTTTACGTATAAGACGTATATAAATATACAAACTTTAAAAATTAATTATTTTTTAAAAGTATTTCTTATTGGACAGTGTCGACTGAGTAAATTTGATGCACAGTATAAAGCAAACGGGTGGTGACGATATTTTTCTAGATCGATATGAAAGCGGCAGAGAAACAACGACTACAGAAGAGGATGGCTGAGTTGCGAGCCGACCGCGATCGGTTGGCCGAACTACTCGAACTCAAAGATCGCCAGCTAGCCGAGTGCCGAGCTGAGGCGAACCATTACGAGCACAGGGTAAGTTTGACGCTTAATTTTTGTTCTTATTTCTTTCAATGATATATACTCGCGCCTATAAGACTATACTTAATTCTTATATGGGTTTAAGAACAAATAAATATAACACGAAAGCAAAATACTTTCAAATGTTTTGTTACTCCATTGAAATATTAAAGATTTGTTTAAAAATATTTGTTTCACATAAAATCATCGTTAATAATGCATACATAATTATGTAGATACCTATATTAGCTATTAGATTTCTAAATACATTGATTGTACCAATTATGTGTGTTTTTCGCTAATATGAAAATAGAGATAAAATGCTTTGATCTTCAAATCCAAGGATGTTTTATGGTAGAAAATCAGATTTATGAGAAGTAAAATTAAGTATTTTCAGTACTTTAAAAAATAATTTGGAAAACTAGAATTTGAACGGAAAATCTGTTATTGATTAATTCAATTTTTATTTTCGTTATAATTGAAAAATGAACAACCGTAAAGGTTTGAAATATTCACTAGATTAACATTCATCAGAAACAATGTAACTTTAAAAATATTTTGACTCTTTTAGTGCTATCTAAAAAGATATTTTAAATTTTTGATTTTTATGTGATCATTTTTTCTGTAAAAATAAAATTCTAGAAAAATAAACACATTGTTACCTATACCTTGTAAAATATACTAATGGTAATCAATACATATTAAAAATATATAGTTATCCTTTTATTTTATAGCTATTTAAAGATCAAATTTGTAAAAAATTTATTAAAATCACAAACATTTGCAAAGTTCATTACATAGGGAAAATTTTAGAATTTTTTTTCAATTTTAGTATACAACGTTAAAATGATGTCAACGCGATATTTAATTTTTCTCTCTGACCCCTCAAGCGTGACATAGTGAATTTACATTTCGCAGAATTATTAACTAGTATTGTTATAGATTTAAAATTATAATATGAATTTATCTATTATTAAAATATTGAAGTTAAGATCACATTATCTGTGTTCGTATATGTTAACTTTTTACGACATTTAAAGCCTTTATACAAGTTATGCGGTGGTATACAAAGTATTAAAATTAGAAGTTCTCATATATTGTAGAGCCGTAAAGACTAATTACCTTTACCTAAGTTTAATAAAAGTCTGTTCACTCATTTTAATCTAATATTTAAGCAAAGAACAACGATGTCGATTCTGCTAAACGTATATTTGCAACTACTATATTATTGCGCGTGGGTTAGAACTTAGAAATAACAAATAGTTGTTGCGTGCCAATATCAGATACAAGTCCAAGGTGTTATTTTAAATGAAAATTACAACTTTTATGAACAATAATGTGTTTATTACGTATTAATAAAGTTCATGTAACTGATACAAAAAGTGGCTGAGTGTCGTGGAGGTGCTCAGGTCTCTGTGGCTCTGGTACATCTGCCCTTGCTGATCTCTGGGCTCCTTTATATATGAAGAAGCCTCTTGTCATTGTAGTCTATAGCCTTTCATTTTGTATTTATTCTTGGAATCGTTTTCACAGTTGTTTAATCGATAACAAAAATCTCCAGGATGTAATCTGTTCCCAATTGTCAATTCGTGGAAATGTAATAATGTATTTATTATCGACCTTGGCACACGACTGCTATTGCGATGTTTATTATGATGTTTTTAAAACAAGATTCATAAAAATATGAATCTAATATCTCATATATATTATAGCCATATAATAGGTATATTATATTATTATATTAGGCCACATATATATATAGCCATATTACTATTGCTAATACTTATAGCAATATTACATATTATATTATATATACTTATATTTAATAATATATCTCATAGCCCATAACATAGTGCGCAGACATCATCCCCTCGATAAAATAAAAATTTAATTTATTGACATAAATTTAAAAACCAATAAAAAACATTTTTTTCGATTTAGGAAAATAATGACAAAGTTAGATCGGGTAGAGTATGTCATCTCGTGCCATACGCAATCAAAAATACAGACGGTTTTCAAAATATGAACTAATTTTGAATTGCAATTAAAGTTCTACTAACATGTCTAATGGCTAGACTGGCTAGAGTGAACTACAGTCAATGCTGAACTTAAAATGCTCAGGGCTCCAAGGTAGCTGTTAAAGAAGAGGGGCCTTTAAAAAATATATTAATAAAAACTGCTTTTAATTTTTATTTATTTAACATACTTAGGTAATAAGAAACGATTACCTATACATAAATCATTATCAAAATTAAAAAATAAATATTCCATATATACTGTGTATGTATAAAAGATATACATACAAAAGAGCAAATTTATGAAAAAAATAAAATAAAATATCAACAAGTCTTAACGATACTGTAGGTTCTAATTAATATAATTTTTAAATCTATAAAAATATAGTTTAACATAATCTTATTTTCCAAGTTACCTACCAAACATATAATACCTACTTGATAATACAATTCTTATAAGCCTGTTTCTATCTAAGCTTTAAAAAATAAATAAATAAATAACACTCTTATACACGAAATATTTCTCAATATTGATCTATTTTGTGCGTTTTTTTTCTTTTTTTTTAATCTTGGCCGGTGGCTTAGGCCCCGGGAACTTAAGGACCTTTAGGCAGCTGCCTAGTTTGCCTAGGTGAAAATTAAGCACTGACTGCAGTTGTGATAAGAAAATTCGTATTCCATCGACGTTTAATTTAGTTCGCAATTTGTTTATAGTTCCCTCCCCCCTATATATAATATCGTAGGTACCATATATTGTTGTATGTATACATAATATTTATGTGCTTGCGTGTATAATAAGTACCTCCTGTAAAACATAAAATATCTATTTTTATCTAATGCATCGTGTGCGTTTTCCTTTACAGTCAGCCATGTTGGCCAAGCAGTTAGACGACGCGCTCTCGGGGGACTGGAGAGGACGAGGCGGAAAGTGCGCTTCGTGCAGCGGTCAAGCCGGAGGTGCGGCGGTGTACCGGACGAACGGCGCCGGTGGGACCGAATCGCAACCGATGTCGCTGTTGGCCGAGTTGGAACAAGCCGAGGCGGCCATAACGCAGACAGCTGCTCGTCCACAGCCGCCGCCCATGGTCGACGTGGACCTAACGGCGGAGCACCCCCCCAACGATTTCGGGGCCGACGCCGAACGGTTGGTGGTCCGGCTGTGCGACGCTCTCGAGCGCCGGGCCGGCCACACGGACGTAGTGTCGACGGAGTTGTCGGCCGGCACTAAGTACCGGCTGCTGAAGCTGATGGGCTGTAGCGGCGGCGGTGAAGACGGAAGCGCGGAGGCCAGTGTCAAGTCCTCGGGATCCGTCGACCTTGCGGAGCTGGTTCGCAACCGGGACGGTCGGGTGGCCGAGCTCACGTGCGAGGTATGTTCACGCAAAGGTTTTCACTAACGGCGTTTTCACTGTGAATCGGTTTAGGAAAGAAAAGGTCAAAAAAAAAAGTTATTGCCCAGGTTTCGAGACCACGACTGTTAAGGCGACTTCCCCAAGTACTATTGCACTTTCTTCAATCTCCGAAAACGATAATCTAACAGCAGTGGACGATAATTTATGTGCAACTCGAATCGTATATTGTGTTATATTCATAATGCGATTTAGCCAGCTCGTGCAGCCGTGACCTGGTTTTCGATTCATGTGGTCATTGAGCTACGACACTTGGTCACTTGGTTAACACGAGTTAAATATAATATTATTGGAGGGGGATATTAGACTATCAAATGAACAATAATAATAAAAGATTTCGGCGATTGTAAACTGCGTCTAAAATATAGATAAACCCAAAATCACACGTGTAGACTGTGTCCGAGTTTTTATCGAGTGTAAAAAGGTGACTTGTAAACTGCGCCTGGATAAAGTTTTAAAAATCAATAACTATATTTTTACGAGATTACTTTAATGTATGCTTAATTCATTACAACCATATAATATGAATCATTAAAATAAAAATAAAATTAAGAATCAAAAAAAAAATATATGATTTTGAAAAGTAAAATAATTACAAATATTACAAATAATAACATATTGCTGTTACATGATATTCATCAATTGAAGTTTGACCACAATTATATTTATTAATTAAATTTCGTAACTTTTGCTTGTTTTTTTTTTTTTTTTTTTGAGTTTAGAATGCAATAGTTATTCAATAACGTGTTGGTATTTTTAGACGAAAATGAAATTTCTGTGATATAATTGAAAAAAAAAAGCACAATTGTAGAGACTTAAATTAGTCAAAAGTTTTGTATATTTTATAAATGGGGCACAGCTTAAGTTGTCGGGCGCAGTTTACATTATACCTTTTTAACATAGGTAAAATTTAGAGCGCAGTTTACGTATGGCCAAAGGTTTATTTAACATGACATTATATGCTTTATAATAAATGCTATATTTACGAAAAATTATTGTTATAATAACAATGATTGGCTACCGAATAAAACGAAGTATTTCAGTAAAGTAGCCTCTATGCAATAATCATGAACGTTCAATGTCTATACGACGTATAATATGACCACATCATACTTTTCGCCGTTACCGTCAGTCTGTTCCCCTCGGATAGACATAATATTATAAACATTTATACGCGCATATTACTGTCGTTTTCCTATATTCCATTGATTAACGGAAAATTCTTGTTTTTGTACAAAAAGTTGTCCGTGAGAGACGCGGAACTGCAGGCGGCCCGCGAGGAACGTGATCTGGCGGTGCGGGATAAAATGGACGCGATGCGGATTAAGTGCGTCCGGTGCGGTGATACAGGCAGTGGAGAGCCCGCAGACACCACTTCCGGATCCGGTACCGACGAGAAGGACGCGTCTTTGATCCCGGAACTGTTGAGGAAAGCGTGGGAACAACGGGACGGGGCGGTGAGGCGGAAAAACGCAGTGCAGGTGCAGCTGGCCCGGACCCGTGTTGACGTACTGCAGGCCAACGGTCAACTGATGGAGGCCATCGGGCAGAAGGTGGAACTCAGTCAACAACTAGAACAGTGGCAGGTCCGTATTTCAGCAAATATTATAAAATTTACAGACCCGGAATTGCTCTGACTTTTTAACGACGACTTCAGTTCATCTTGGCACCCGACAATTGTTGAGACTTAAAAAATGCAGTGGTCTGAAAACTATATCATAATACATGAATAAAAATACAGTTTTTGGACTACCACTGTTTTATTTTTTAAATCTTAACGGATGCCGGAGTGCAAAAATATGAACTGAATGGATTATATTTATTATTTCGTTCGAATCGCAATGAAATCGTATAATTTTTAAAATTATTAGTTTATGAATAAAAATGTACGAAAAAAAATTAACGCTTCACATTATAATATATCTATTATTGTTTATTTCTCTGCGTTTTTAGATTTTTAAATTTTTATTACCAGCTATCACCCGTATGTTTCATTTTATAATCGAAAGCATTATACTTTTATTTAAACATAATTTTTTCAAGTATAAATTATAAATGTTGGACATTAGATTGTTTACTTTATTATATTAATAATTAATGAAAAAAATTTAGATGATCTGTGGTCCGTCGACGGAACACAATTTTTGTAGAGTAACTGGTATACTTTTTGCAATTTTATTGTTGCGTGCGCACTTCCGGCAACCAAGTTTAGTTGTTTTAAATGAACAGATACAACAGTTTAAACTTTATAAACATGTATATTTTTAGTAAAACTAAAGTACATGTAGAATTAGTGCTATAGCGGCTGAGTGATTGAAGGTGCTTGAGTCTTAATGGCTATGGTACATCTGCTATTGCTGATCTCTGGGCTCCCTTATAAATAATGAAGAAGCTTCTGGTTATTGTAGTCCATAGCCTTGCATTTCGTATATATTCTTGGAGTTTTTTTGATACTTGTTTTTGGTAAAAACAATCTCCAGGATGCAATTCGATCCTAATTGCCAACACGTACAAAAACCTTAATAATGTATTTCACTCGACCTCGGCACGCGCAATGTACTATTGTCTATTGCGATGTTTATTACGATGTTGTCGAGAAGTAGATAATTACACTCGAAAATGCATTCTAATCCTAATGCAACGAGATTCATAATAATATGTATCTACTATCTCGTGCCATGATCATTAATAAAATGTCTAACTCCCCGACACGTGTCATGGTCATGCTAATACTTATATATTAGCAATATTATATATAATATCATATATACTTATATTTAACAATATATCTCGTAGCCCATAACACAATTAATAAAAATTAATAGCCATTTGTACGGTCTTCGATATATTTACATGAAGTGTTTAGAAAATGGAAATAAGAATATCTCGTTTTTGGCTAGGAATTCAAAACATATGTTATCATTAAAAAAAAACCTAAAACACCGCACAATAATAAAAAGAGGTAAAAACAGATGGAATGTTTTTTTTCGTTAACATTAACATTCCCGGTGTTAATACGCGGTTAATATTTATACATGACATGTACATGGTATTATTATATACTTCAAACTTTTACTCGTATAAATAAATATACATATATAATATATGATTACTTCAAAACAGCATTAATCGACTGAGAAAATCAGTATGGCCAGTCGAACAATATTACTTCGGTTTTATGGTGTAATTTTATAGAAAAATGTGACGCAGAGACGTCTATAAATTAATCGCTGTTTGCACACGGTTTCAGATGGACATGCAATCTCTACTCGACGAGCAAATGCGCAGGAAATTGCTGGCTCCGCCGATGCAATCTTCGGCCACCGGTGCGCCCGAATTCGGTGGCGGAAACCAGCAAAAGTGTTCCGGTACCGGAGGGTTCCCGTCGATGTCGGCTTCGAGCTTGGGAAGTCTCGGGTCGTCGGGACTGATGAACTCGTTGTTGATGATCGCCGGCGGTGGAGGGAACGCAAACAGATGACACGGCAAACAACAACGTTTATACTATAATAAATAACGGTCGTGGTCCGTTTACCTTTGGACAGTAATATAATATTATAATAATGTAATATGTGTATAAAAATAGTGGATCGAGTTTGCGCATTAGTCATATCGCATCCAATCGACGTTTCGTACGGACGGACGACGGTTTAGGATTAATGTATTTTTTTTCTTTAATTTTCGATCCGGCGTTTAATTTACTGTCGTCTTACTTATAACACATTATAGCATGTATCATACCTATCAGTGAGATTTACGATCTCTCGTCCATCGTCGACCCAAATTCGCCCCGTGAATACTTGTTATACATCAATAATCAATAACAATCGCACTGGCAGTTTTTACTTCCAACGTCTGCGTCAAATTCACACAAATTTCTAACTATGAGATATTATAGGTACATATGATGTCTTCGGAATCGTTAACGTATTATGAGAGTCATATTCTAAAATTATTTTGGTCTCTGATCGTGTCAATCGTGTCATAGACCATTTTCCGGAAAGTTTATTAATGATTTGTACATAGTATGTATGGCGGTTCGTCTCGATTTAATGGTTTTTATATTATATTATTTTAGACTGCAGTAAAATTCTGCAAAAACTAGTACAAAATATTTATAACAAAAGTTACCTCACGTGAGCACACTCACCGATATGATACGTCATTATAATATATTACTATATTAGGTATAAAATGGAAAAGTCATAGGATTTGTCCGAATTATTACTTACACAATAAGATACTAAAAACTCGTTGAGAATTTTCAGAGATGAATGTAAAACTCTTTCCGTATATTTCCTTCGTTTAAAAAAAAAAAAAAACCAAAATAACCAATAATTATTTTATTTTTTTTTTTTTGAAAACTAAAAATTTAATAATCTGTTGCGTGCTAATATCATATTCAAGTCTAGGGTGTTATTTTAAATGAAAATTACAACTTTTAAGAACAATAATGTGTTTATTACGTATAAATAAAGTTCGTGTAACTGATACAAAAAGTGGCCGAGTGTTGTGAAGGCACTCAGGTCTTTGTGGCTCTGGTACATCTGCCCTTGCTGATCTCTAGGCTCCCTTATATTATATGAAGAAGCCTCTTGTCATTGTAGTCCATAACCTTTCATTTCGTATTTATTCTTGGAATCGTTTTCACACTTGTTTTATCGATAACAACAATCTCCAGGATGTCATCTGTTTCCAATTGTAAATTCGTGGAAATTCAATAATATATTTATTATCGACCTCGGCACACGATTGCTATTTTGATATGTTTATTATGATGTTTTTAAAACAAGATTCATAGAAATATGAATCTACTATCTTGTATATATTATAGACATATAATATATTATATTATTACATTAGGCCACACATATATATATATTACTATTGCTAATACTTCTAGCAATATTACATATACTTATATTTATTAACATGTCTTGTAGCCCATAACACCTCCCCGCAAAAAAAAAGGTTTATGTCTGCAAGACAGAAATCTTTACAATTTTTATATGTATGCAGTTACACTTCATTTACATTAATTACTTAATAATAATAAATGTTAGTGACATAAAATTTAAATCAATTAATTATATAATAAAATATGTTAGTATAATTTTGATTTCCTTTATAAAATATAAAAATCCTTCACCTTAATAATTATTACATAAATAAATCTGTGAACAATTAACGTTATTATACATATATGTTACATTTAATAATTTTGTATTTTCCTAAATAACTGGATATTATATTCCCAATTTTTTTATTAACAACTCTTAAACCATTTTTTTTTTTTTACTATCTATTAATTATTCCTCAATATCATTAAATATCTGTCACCCTTACTAATTATTTATCAGTATTATTAATTATTATTTTATAGTTATTATTATTATTATTATCCTATCGTGGTGATGGTGGAGCAGTAAATGGTATTTCGTCAAAAAGTTCCGCACTATTATTTTCTCTCCTTATAGGTGTTCTATATTTAACCAATTTCCTAGGTATATCTGTAATCTGACGATCGCTAATGTACCGACATTTTATTAATATATACATAACTATTATTAATATAATGGATAATATAGCTAAACCTATTGTTGCATATAATAGATTCGAATGAATGAATTGATGTTTTTGAGTTTGTTCTCTTATTATTTCATTATCAATCATCTGTTGTACCTCATCGAGAGATTTAGATACACTATGTAAATCTGTTAATTGTATATCTGTTTCGTTATTCCATTTTTCGTTTATTGTATAATTATGTATGTGTTCAGGTATTTTGTCCAATAAATTTGTCATTTTAGTTACAGGTACAAAATCTTTGTATTTTGTATTTGAAACTTCTTCTATTGCATTTAATACTGCATCTCGCGTAAATATTCGACAACTCGTATCTATTATAGCTATTTCTCCTGAGGTTTTCACTTCTTGAGTAAATGGTTCCATTACATCGTCACATCCTACTGTCAAAACATCGTGTCCTACATGAATCCAAGTGTTTTTCTTGTAAAGTCTATGATATATATTTTCATGTAACGTAAATTTTTTAACCACACATTTATTCGGTGTTTTGTCTGCTCCTTTGAATAATTGTACCTCACACGGTTGATGACTATTAGCTTCCTGTATCGGCTGTGGTAGTTTACATATTTTGTATATAGTTAATTCTGTGCATTCACTTATCTGTTTATCTGAATAAGTAGTAAATTTCTTTCTATCTTTAGTTATTGCAATATATTCATATGTAAGTGAAGTAACATACCATCCAATTATTCCTCTTTCCATATGATACATAAGTTTAGGTATTAAATTAAATAGTGTAAATTCTATATCCATAATCAATGGTATTCTTGTGATAAACACCAATCTTTCGTTTTCATAATATACGCTCAATTTTGCTATTTTTGAAAATTCACTTATCTCTGATGGTTTTGTTCCTACAGGGATGTTTAAGTTACTTCTAAAATATTGTTTTGCTGTCTTAGCGTTTCTGCAATTTCTTGAGGTGTCATAAGACTTGGATGTATTATTCCTCCTCTTGTGACTGTAATTATTTGTTCTAATGTTGAAGTTTCATATGCATATTGATTAGTTAATATTGTATATAAATTATGTACTTCATCTGCCAATAATAAATCTAAAATATCGTCAGTTTTGTTTTGTATTTGTAATAATCGTTTATGTAATTGTTGTTCTTTATTTGATACATCTTTGTATAACTCCTCAGTACGATTTATTGTGTTAGCTATTTTCTTGACAACTGTTTTTACTACTGTTGTTTGTGTTTTCATTATGTGCAAAATATTAGTTCCTGTTTCCTCCGTTTTTTGAATTGCTTCCCTAGTTTTCTTAACACATTTATCATCACACACACCAAATAATGTATACATAACATTGTCTATAATATTTATTAATCCCCTTTTTTGTCTTTGATTACTAATATCTTGATCAGTATTTTGACCTTCTAATGACAAATACATTCTTTCCTTTTGATTAGTTACGTATTTCATCATATAAATCGGTTATTACTATTTGATATTTTCCACATAAATCTATATGACTCTTATCAGTACATATGTTTGTTATATTTTTCATTTTCTTTCCTAATATTTCATATTTTGTGTTGTATTCTTTTAGTGAGAAATAAGTAATGAGTTTATACTCTGCTCCTATTACTCTAACAGGACCTAAGTTTTCATAGTGTAAACCCTTGTCTTGCTCATACGGTATATATGTATAATAATCTGATGAATTTATTTCATTAGCATTGCTTAATCCAACCATCATCACCAATCTAAAATTAAAAAAGATTAATTTTCTAAAAATAAAATTATTTTCCCTATGGTAATTTTTCTATTAATATTTTATATGTAATTTTTTCCAAAAGTTTATCAAACAAGCATTTTGTTAGTATCACATCGGCACGAGGATCATGAGCATGGGTTATCTTATGATCTATATTACAAACCAGCACATGACTTTCAAATAAGTTTAACAATCGTTCATTTTTTTCATAACTGCCTAACGCAATTTCTGCGATAGTGCTCTTATTAATTTGTAATAATTGCAAAGAAATTTGTCGGTTATTATTACAATTATAAGCTCTTATATTTAAAATTGGTTGATGTATGTCTAGACGGTTTAAAAGGAACATATCCATGTCACCATTCCAGAAAACAAAGGCTGTTTTTTGTTCCCCCCGATTAATATAATTTAATATAGTTTTTCTGTTTAAATTATTGATAGCAGAACAACTATTTTCATTAATTTGTGACAAGTAAATATTCACTTTGGTGGATGGCCAACCAAAAAATTTCTTTACATTATTAACCGCCCAACCTTGCTCATACTTAGTAATAGGACGGACCTCATTGTTAGTTATCAACAAGGGCCATCCTTCTAATTTAACTATTTTGCTCTGATAATTGTCCGTAATTGCCCCGCAAATTAATACGTGATTGTTTTTTCTTAAAATTGTAAATTCAAAATCCAAAATAGTAAAATTTTATATGTTTTGTTTCTAACATTTTATTGGTGGTTTATTAAAATTATTTCGCTGTGAATAATTATTTGTTCGTGTCTGGTAATTCGATTTATTAAAATTATTTGGTTGAAAATTCTTGGAGTAATTATTCATATTATTATATTTTGCATTATTTGTACGTTGAAAATCATTATTATTCTGTCGTGAATAATTATAATTACCTCTATTATTAGAAAAATCGTTCTTGTACCTAGAATTTTCTCTCTCTGAATTATACTCTACCTCTTCTTCTTTTGCCAATTGCTTAGCTAGCTACCTATAAAGTTTTAGGATTTCGTGCTTTTACAATTGTTCTTATAGGACTTATTAATCCTTTTATAAAAATATTTAATGTTTGTTCTTTTAAAGTCTCGTGTATTACTCTTGCTTCCGCTTCTTCTTTGTTAAGCGTACATGCAGTACATAATTTGTAATATAGTTTTTCTACTTTATGACAATAGTCATTAACATCCTCATCATTACGTATTTTAATAGAATTTAACTGTATTTGTAAACTTGAAGCTGTTGTCGTATCTTCAAAAGCATCTGTTAAATAACTCTTAATATATATCAACTTAGTTACATTTTTATATTTTATCATTTCCAAGGCTCTACCCGATAACCTAATAGTTATGTATTTAACCAAGGTTGGTGCATTTTTCTCTTCAACCAAATTTACTGCCATATCACATGCATTTATGAATGGATATATATCATCTTCTCCTGTACATAAAGGTATTAGCTTAAATGCTTCTTCCAATCTTATGGTAACCATTTTCTTTACACGTGATTTCCTTTCGTATGTTAACTCAGTGTGTTCAAAAGTGTCCGTAACTTTGCTACGTGTGATTTTCTTGTTATCTAAACTTGAGCTTCTAATTAAATTGCTTTTTATATTCGCTTTATGGAGTTCACTTGTACTTCTAAAAATACTAGGGCGTTCTTTTGGGCTTTCAGTAGGGCTAGGGTTTTTACTAGGGCTTCCCAAATCAATCAACTGTTGGGTTTTGTTCAATATTTCCAAACTCAAATCTATAGACATCTTGTTCGATGGACTAGCTACTTCCAAAGGAGATGTACCTATGTTCTCCATAAATTTCCTTCGCACTCGTTTGATACGTTTTAAATCAACAATAATAATATAACTCATATATATATATATATATACATATGTCCTTTAATAATCAATAATAATAATTCTCAATAATATATGCTCTTTAATAAGTTCACAATAATAATTCTCAATAATACATGGTCTTTAATAATCTCAATAAATTCAATAATATGCTTCAATAATAACTCAAATAATTCAATACGCCCTCAAAATAATATAATAATCACAATATCTCAATATAATATACCCTTTAATAATCTCAATAAAAAAAAAATCAATAATATGCCCTTTAAAATAAAAAAAAAATTTCCATAACCTACTTATATATATTCAGTTTCTTAAATGCTACTTTATACTTTTGTAGCATATATTATTATGTAATAAATTAATTAACTGTTCACTTACAATAATGCTATGTTCTTCGATGTTGTCATCTTGTCTGATATACTGCAACGTTGTTCCTTACTATTGGTTTTCTCTTCTGGAGTTATCAGGGAAGAAAGTGATCAAGTCTTCCTTATTGATGATAGCCTTTGACGGTTACCTCCTTGAAAAGTGAATCCTACCGACTGCGCCAAATTGTTGCGTGCCAATATCAGATCCAAGTCCAGGGTGTTATTTTAAATGAAAATTACAACTTTTAAGAACAATAATGTATTTATTACGTATAAATAAAGTTCATGTAACTGATACAAAAAGTGGCCGAGTGTTGTGAAGGTGCTCAGGTCTCTGTGGCTCTGGTACATCCCCGTTGTTACTCTCTGGGCTCCCTTATACATCATTTTGATTCCTTGTTATGACAATTCGAAGCCTTGCGTGTATCCTTGTACTTGTTATTGTAAAAGAGCATCCGCATTCAATAATACATTACAATATTACGTTCTA